CTCACTTGGTAGTCCAGGCTGGCCTCGAACTCACAGAGATCCACCTGCCTCTGCCTCCCGAGTGCTGGGATTAAAGGCGTGTGCCACCACCGCCCGGCCGACACTAGGCTTTATTATAAGGTATACTACTTTGCTAATTTGTATTTGCTGGGGCTTTTCGTACTCTATGGGTTTTAGAACTAGATAGCCCTTGCATGGACATCAGGTTTCAGCTTTATAAAGTCAGGTGGTAATAACTGTCTCTGAGGAAGTGAAAGCAGGAGAGTGACCAAGCCCACGCCAACTAGCAGCCCCCTGAGGAAGAGAGATAAGCAGTCAGTCATACCTCACTGAGTTCATGCTGTCTTTGCATCTTCTTTTCAAAGGTAGATTTCATTTGGATAAGTAATTCATACTAAAAGAAAACATAAGATTGCTGTTTCATCTGATGTTTGAACTGTAAAAATGTCTTAAAAATGACCAGTAACTCACCTTATCTAAAACAGTTTGCCTTTTGGTTTCCAAGGTATGCTCCAAAAGGAGATTATTTCCTGTAAGATAAATCTCTGGCTTATTTCCCAGCACAGATCACAGTTTTCTCAGGACTTGTGAATTAAAGAAAATGGAAACATACTTGCTAAGTCCTCGATACTTTTTACTAGGTCTTCCTTGTCAGTAATAATTTGCTTTAGTTGAGGCAACATCAGGAACTGTTCTAGTAACACCTCCTCTTGTTCATTCATGTCTGTGAGCTGCGAGACACTAAAGACAAAAGAAAAAGCAAACTGTTAATAAATACCAGTCATCTAGTTTTTCTCCACGGTGACAAATGTTCAGTTTTCCGATCTAACTTGTGTGATGGCTAGTTTTATGGGACACAAGCTCGAGTCATCCGAGGAGGAAAGCTCAACTGAGAAAATGCCTTTGTGAGACTGCTCTGCATGGAAGCCTAGAAGGCATTGTCTTAACTAGTGATTGACATGGGAGGTCGAGCCCATTGCAGTGCTTAAAAAAAAAAAAAGGAAACCGAACAAGCCCTGGAGAGCAAGTCTGATTCATGTCCACAGTTACCCAACAGAGCTGGGCAGAGCAGCATGAGAAACAAGAGAGTCAGAACCACGGGGAGGATTAGGAATATGGAGGTCGATCACACTCTGCTTTTTCTTTCTGTAGTGTTGATGTTTTCATAAGTTTTTATAGTAGGTCAACTTTTAAAAAGGAGAAAGGACACTATTTTAAAAATAGTCTTATTTCTTGGCAGTTGAGCATTATAATGTATTATAATTATTTATTACATAAAATATATGTAATATGTCTTTTCTGTCTTGGGACTTGCATTCTTTAAAAATTATTTCTGATGTTTACCCATAAATTAAAATACAGGATCAAATAATGTCAAAGTTTGTTTTTTAAAATTACAGAATTGTTTACAAACTTTAATCTGTATAATTCTTAATTGCATTCAATGGTCTTACTAATAGTAGCCTCATGGATATTATAAATCCTTAGTGGGGTACATGGGATACCCCACTAAATGGAGGGACCAAAAATTGCTTTATTTGCAGCACATCTTATGTTACATGAAAAATAGTACCTTAAACTTGAATCCTGCCACCTTATCTGCTATAAATTTGAGTAAAAATGTAGCTCTAAAACTAGTTTGCCAAACATAGTATCACAACTTTAGTCTACTCATCTATACACAACATTAATCTACTAAAGGAAAAATGAAAGATCTATTTTGAAATTATCAGAATCTAATATATTCACAAATAATTCTCAAAGACTGCAAGCTACAGTGAAGGAAAAGAACTTTTGTTATCTTTGTAATTATTACATCATTCTTGGCATCTAGAGCAATCCCTAGATATAAACAAGTCATGTTACAATTTATCACCCTAAAGCTGATTTATACCACTTACCCACTAAGACAACCAAAGTAAAGGAACAGTGAAAAAAATTTAAATCATTTTACTTAAATTTGAATATGAAACTATAAATAAAATAGACAAGACCATCTTTACTCTTCAGGTTTTTTACCTTAGTTCTGAAAGTTCTGGAAATGCATCAGGGATATCCGGCATCTTATAACCAAAACCATTTTGGTTAATCTAAAGAAGAGTTTTGAAGAATATTAAATCTCAGCTATACTTTGGATTGGTCCCATTTATCTTATAAAAACTTTAAAGTACTGTATGGATTAGTGCTTTCATATCACCACCTCATCTTTGCCCTTCATATGCACATATATATCCTTTACATCCATCTGGTAATGCACTTTTACATCTGGTAATGCACTTTTACTTGTCCTACTTGATTTTGTCACTACAGGATCTTACCATATAGCTCAGCCTGACCTTGAACTCACTAACTAGTCCAGGCTAGTCTTCTCTGCCTTCTCTTCCCGAGGGCTGAGATGCATACATGCCTCCACCCTCAATGTACTGTTATACATAGGAGTTTGCATTGTTTTGATTGGGAGGGGTATGGGCCTTAGAAGAGCCTGCATTAGGCTGTGTGGAAGTGTATGACTATAAAATATATCTCTTGAGAGCATCTATAACAGGTGTAGAGAATTATCTGTGGATTTCATAAACATAAATGAATATACTTCTTTCGAGTAAAGACATCAAGCATCAATTAGTAAACTGCCAGCACTCTGAGTAGTTACATATTTAAGTTTAATAAGAGAGTAGGGTCGATAAAGAACACAATACCAATTTGATTATTTATGAGGTTTATGCATTAGAACACCCCAAATTTTTCCCCAAAATTTTTTAGGTATTAATTACAGCTTGTTGCCAGTTATGGTAGGGTATGCCTTTAATCCCAGCACTCAGGAGGCAGAGGCAGGCAGATCTCAGTGAGTTCAAGGCCAGTTTGGTCTACATAGTGAGTTCCAGGAAAGCCAGAGCTACCTAGTGAGACCCTATCTCAAAAAACCAAATAAATGATAGTTTGTTCACAATCTTTATTAAAACAATGATGAAAAATTTTGGAAAAACAAAATCCATTCAGGTCTGTATTTTAAAATTCTAAACTGTAAAATCAGTAATGTTGAACATAATGTATATGCATACACATATTTATATATACTTGTGTTTGTGTGTGTGCATGTGAGTACAGGTATAGGTGTGTGTGTGTGTGTGTGTGTGTGTGTGAAGGCCAGAGATCAACACTGGGTGTCTTTCTCAATCAGTTCTCTACCCTTTTTTTTTTTTTTTGGCGCCAGGTTTGGGGAGGGCGTACCAGCAGGAACTCATTATGTGGCCAGTCTGGATGGCCAGCAAACCCCAGGAAATCTTGTGTCTAACTCCCCAGTATTGGGATTACAGGCATGGATTATTATGCCTGGATTTTTATGGTATATCATGGGGAACTGAACTCAGTTCCTTGTGACTACACAGGCCTTTAATGCCTGAACCATTATTCCAGCCTCCAAATCTACAGAAATACTGTATGCACAAAATATTGGTCTCTTTTTCTATAATATTTTTACATGACAACAGGTACCAGTTTCACTTATGAACATATAATTTTTAAGCCAATAAAATGCTGAAAAACTTCAGCATGCTCCAATAGGCCCTCTTTAATTTGACACCTGCCTCTCCACCATAATCACGTCCTGTGCCTTGTCCAATATACCCTACATGACAGATAGAGAGCTATTACAGGCAACTTTACTTCCATGCCACCTGGCATATAGTGCAAGGCCTCTGTCAATGTAACCAATTACCTATTACTTTACATACCCTCTTGTTATCCTCAATATTTTAAAACCATCCTTTAGAAATCTGGCCTCAGGCATAAATGCATCCATCCATTTATCTGCCTCATTTTCCCTGAGCATCGACTATGTGCACAGTCTGAAGCACTGGGGTAAAGTCAAAACTGGAATGATATTATCTCCCTACTACTGCTACTTGGTCTCGGGGGCAATGAACTCAGCTGTCTCCCACATCTAGACTCTCTCTGTCTAGAAGCTCTATATTTGCAATTCTTTATTGGTTACCTTTTTGAGTTGTCTGAGATGACAAGTATGATTTAATCTTTGTTTCATGCCTATCTCAGTGGATGGACATACTAAATGCCCGCTAACTGAATACCTACTTCACAGGTACAGAACACAGACTCCACAAGATACCAACCTGTGCTGAAGATTCTGTCGTGGGAACAGGTAGCGGCAGACTGGAAAGGATGCCAAATGAAGGAGCCACTGGCTTGGCTGTGGTATAACTTGTGGTTGAAGAAGAAACAGTGTCAGCTACAGACAAAGATGTGATACTCCTGTTAGCTTCTTGTGGAGGATACGGAGGAAGAAATGGAAAACCTTGAGAAGGGTAAGGAGGCATCCCACCTGGATTACTATATAGGCTGAAGAAAGAAAGAGAAGATCATTAGGTAAGATATTAGGATTTAAATTTTCTCTAAATCATCTTAAATGCAATGGCCATGCATTTCCACATTTGGAAATTTCTTTTGGCAAGTGATTTTATAATTAAATTGTATAAATTATAAACTATAAGTACCTGAAAAATAAAGTATGGTTTCTATAAAAAGAAAGAATGCTATAGAAAGCAAACAATCCAATTGCTCTCTGTAAAAGTTATATACGTCATATAGAGTTTTCAGTTTTCCAATGGCATCATTTAGTTTTGTTTCTTTATATAGAGCATTTTATCCAGAGTATTTATGCAAGTGGATGTTGCTAAGTGGCTTTTGATGTTGGGCAAAATCTACCTTGAAGTTGAGACTTTTTCTAGAGATTTTGAAAGAAAAATTATATACATGAGCTACTAAAATGTTTAAAACATTATAAGCAGTTCATATAAAAACACAAATATATATTTTAAAGAGTAGCAAATCATTACTTAGTTGGGACTTAATCAGAAAGTAATTTAGCAATATTTATTTTAACAAGATGTTTTAAAATGAACCTCTTTCCTCCCATAAAAGTGAGAAGAAGCCAGCTTCTATGGCCCACACCTTTAATCCCAGTACTAGGGAGATAAAAACAAGCAAATGTCTATGAGTTCAAGGCCATCCTGTCTGCCAAGAGTTGTAGACCACAGGGCTACATAGGGAGACCTTGTCTCAAAAAACAAACGAACAAAAAATTGTGGAGAAATCAAATTATAAAACAATCAGGAGTACTTCAGGAATAAATGAACACTGAAAATTCATCTAAATGCAAACATTTGAGTTAAAAATCAATCAATCAGTCATTCTCATATAAAAGAGACTTACAGGTATATTTTGTAGATAATACTAAACATTAACTGCTAAACTATTTCATTTTATACTGGTATATTTTTGTAGAACTGTTATAATTTCTTTTAATGATAGAAATTAACCTGAGTTGGACATTTATTAGAAGAAAATATCCATTATGGATTTTGAAGTATTCCCTAGTAACACTAAAAGCTTACATTTTCCATTAAAAGCATGGGAAATATGCAAGAATAGAAAGAAAATAATCCAAGAAAGGAAAATAAAGAGATATTACCTCTCCCACATAGCAAAATAAATTATAGGACCTTAATTAGTAATTAAAAAATTAAAGCATGCCATTGGTGAATGGCTAGGAAGATTTTGAAATAAATATAAAATATACGAAAAAAGTTGTTATGGTTAGAAGTAGAAACAGAGCAGTAGAAAAACAGTGTGGCCGGGCGTTGGTGGCGCACGCCTTTAATCCCAGCACTCGGGAGGCAGAGCCAGGCGGATCTCTGTGAGTTCGAGGCCAGCCTGGGCTACCAAGTGAGTTCCAGGAAAGGCGCAAAGCTACGCAGAGAAACCCTGTCTCAAAAAAACCAAAAACAGAAAAGAAAAGAAAAACAGTGTGGTAATAATGTTTGGCAAAAAGTAAGAGCCAAGTGTTCATAATAGATAAAAAACTAATGGATCAAGGATTATATACCGTTTTTAAAATCTTGAACTAAGAAATCTTTGGAATATTTCAACCTTAAAGTGGGAAAAGTATGAAGACATTTCTGTAATCCCAAACTCAAAAATTTTAAGAGAAAATAATGACAAATTTTACACTAGCAAAAACAAAACAAGCCAGGCGGTGGTGGCGCACACCTTCCATCCCAGCATTTGGGAGGCAGAGATAGGAAGATCAAGGCCACCCGGGTCTAAAAATCAAGTTCCAGGACAGCTAGGACTGTTACACAGAGAAACCTTGTCTCGAAAAAACAAAACCAAACCAAACCAAAACACCAGGCCAAGTATAACACTAAAAAGGTCAGTGGTAGAACATTCCCTAGCAAAGCCAAAGCTCTGGGCTCTATCCCCAGCACCTTCAACCAGCTAACTAACAAAAATCAAGGGGGAAACAACTGAAGTCAAACCACACATAGGACAATTTCTCTAACATAAAGAATTCCCAACAACTTAACAAGCGGATGATAGACTGGTATATAACTTCTATAAAATTAAGCATCTTAAAAACAGCAAATAGTGCTCAATTTAACTGTCAGGTAACAGCTAAAATTAAGTAACAATTTTTATGCTTACAAAATGGGCAAATATCTATTTTGACAATATCCCATACTGGAAACAGGCATGGATAAATGGCACTGTGTATGTAAGTAAAGACTGGTATAATAACTATGCTAAAGGACAATTTTACAGTATTTGTCAAAATACTATTTCTAGAATAAATGAAAATATTAAAAATGCACAATAAGAAAACCAGACAACTCTACGAGATGCCCTATCAGACTTAGAAGGAATTTCATACAGAAAGAAGAGTGAGCTAGGGTCCCAGCTCAGTGGTAAAGTCAGGATAGTACACATACCACCTTGGTATCGACTCCTAGCATACACAGAAAAAAGCATGGCTATTTTTGCTAGTGAGTTTTTTTTTTTCCACCTGTTTCTGACTTATAGATGTGTAAAGATCTAACGTCCTCTTCACTTTTTAGACAACAGCAAACAAACCAAGGTCTGAAATATATACATGAGGCTTCCAGTAAGGCTGCTGAGAGACAATGCTTTTAACATGTTTAGAAGATGTTTTCCTTACTGGACAATTGCTAAGGCACTACCTGCATCCGAGGTCCATTGTTAACACCCATGAAAGGGGTTTGAATTTTGTTTTTCTTGAGACTTAGGGAAAACAGAATGGGAGACAAGATTTGAAATCAGAGTCTTGTCTCTGATCCACTCAGCAAGTCTTTAACTCATCTCTGTCCTGCCACAGTGTCTTAGAGCCAGCAAAGCCAGGCAGTACCTTCACCACTGTCCAGAACCTCTAGACAGACCACCTCATTCACTAGGCAGTTTCCCCCTCCACACTATTGCAAGAACATTGATGAACTTTCCAAACCTACAAAGCTGTCCTTCGGATGACCACACAAAAGCCAGCAGGCTGCAGCCAACGGTCTCCTTCTGCTTTCCGTCTTTTCCTCTTTCATGAGAGCACTTCTGCTCGTCTCACTCTCACCCACACTTTAGAGTTAATTTTCAGGGGTGGGGTAGGGGGGTAGAATTTCATTTCCAGGTGCTCCCCCAAAAAAGTTCTACCTGCTGCAGATTGTAACAATTATAGATTGAAATAACTGTATTAGCTAGGCTGGTGGTGTAGGCTTATAATCCTAGCTACTCAGAGGCTGAGGCAGGGCAAACTACGAGTTCAAGACTAGCCTGAGTAACAGTGCAGCGCTGTCTCAAGATTTAAAAACAGGAAGAAGCTAGGAAGTCAGCTCTAGCCCGGCTAGCTTGGCTCTGAGCTTGATCCTTGGGGCCATACCTTCCCACAAAAAAATTGTGTGAGTTACTCTGCTCGTTGTTATGACAAAACTAACAGAAGAAATTAAAAGAAGACAGTTTCAGAGATTCAAGATTTATATTGGAAGATAAATTTTGAGACTTAAAAAATGACAAACAGCTTTAATATGCCCTCACATTAGACAATTAGTACATTTCAAATGTTCGGTTGTGCACTTTGTATTCTATGCACTCTAGATTCTAATCTCATTAGTCTAATTGCTAATATCTGATGGCATGCATAAGTATGAGAACTTATGCTGATATTCCTAGCACCCATTTAAAAGCTGGGCATAGAGACACACATCTGCAACCCCAATACTAAAGATGGGTAGGAGATGGAGACAAGAGGATCCCTGGAGCTCACTGGCCAGCCTGCTTAGCCAGTTGATGAGCTCAAGGCTCAGGGAGAAATTCTGTTTTAAAACAGCAAGATGAGCAGTCAAGGAAGACATCCAATATCAACCTCTGCCCCACCCACACACACACACGCTCATGTACTTACATGTACAGATGCACAAACACACTAAAAAAGAAAATATATCTGGTGTCATTTTAATTTCTGATCTCTTAAAACTTCTAAATTTAATATCTGTTACTATGAACCTTCATGGAAATGCATCTTGTTACTAGTCTTTTATAATGTGACAATTATTTTATGGGCTTTAATTTCATCTCCCACTTTTCTACTTCCTTCCTGTGACTCTCCTTTTATCTTTCCTATGGAATCTAGGGCCTCACAGATCCAAAGCAAAACTGTATCTGAGGTGCATCACTAGATCATGGTATGTATCTAATAGAAAGAACGATCCAAAAGCAAAATCAATAACCCAATTTTAATCTATTGTCATTCCACAAAGCAAAACCAAGGCTCTATCAAAATACTGAGCCCAACTGGATTTCAGAATTCCTGTTTTCCCTAGTTATGAGTAGTCTACAGTGATCTAGTACCACTGCATGTTGGATATATGTGGGCAACAATATTGTTATTTTAATCCATACTTCTTCGGTTAAGAGACGGTCTGAAGGAACCCAGCTGAAAAACCTCCTCTATACCTGAACTATTATATATTAAACTATACAAGTTCTTGTGTGAGAGAAAGTGAATATACTTTTGCATATAGGATATAGGTGAATTCTTATGATCAGAGATGTGGCAGACTGTATTTTTTAAAATAGTCACTGCAAGATTTCCAGGGCACACTTCCCACAAACACATGCTTTTCTTAAATTCTGCCACACTAGTGAGAGATGAAGTCTATTTCTTCTTCATTTTCAGGCCGAATGTACTTAAAAGGCAGCGGAAATGATGCACATAACACCCAGCGCTATAGCTAAACAGGCAGCACACAGCTTCTGCTTGGCTGGTCTGACCTCTCTCCATGTGATATGCTGTAAGGAAACTCAGGCTGCCGTCAGTGATAAGAGCCGAGAGCCTCCGCTAGAGTCTTGGAGTTTGGCTAACAAAAATTGCCAGACAAGAGAATTAAGTGAGTTTCCATATTATTCAATCACACTTCTTAAAGCCACACCAACTAATGAAAAAGTAGAACAAAATAGTTACCACTAGTACCTAACCCAACTATAGACTCATAAAGAGAAACATCTAAGCATGGTGGCACAGGCCTATAATTCTAGCTACCCAGGAGACCGAGAAAGAGATCCTAACTTCAAGCTCTGCTGGTTACATTGCAAGTTCCAAGCAAATCTAGGTACCTGCGTGTGAGCCTGTCTTAAAATAAAAGATTAAAATATGCTGGGGACGGCGCTCCGTGGCCCCTGCTTGACATGCGCAAGGCCACAGGCTCAGGTCTCAGATCCCTATGACACACACCCACACTTCACTATTTTAAGTACAAGTTGTAATATGATTTGTTATTCATGCTAATGCTTTACTCAGGAAATTATTTGAAGATAGTAAACCAAGATACTAGGAGACAACATTAAAAAGAGATTTAGAAGCCGGGCGGTGGTGGCGCACGCCTTTAATCCCAGCACTCGGGAGGCAGAGGCAGGTGGATCTCTGTGAGTTTGAGGCCAGCCTGGGCTACCAAGTGAGTTCCAGGAAAGGCGCAAAGCTACACAGAGAAACCCTGTCTTGAAAAACCAAAAAAAAAGAGAGATTTAGAAAAGCTAAGAAGCAAATAATCCACCATATGAAAACAGCAAAGGAACTGTCAAGAAGACAACAAAGGAAAGTTACTGAATGAGACCTGGGTGACAGAAATGAGGTGTAACTAACAAGGAAAGAAGTGGAGGAAAAACAACCAAACAACTCAACACAGAACTCAGAGATTGCCTGCCCGGTACGACATGAACAAAAATGGGATAAAAACAAAAACACTTGGCTCAGCAATGGCTACTACTTCAGAGTCAGGTAACAAACACACCAAATAGACTTCTGTAGAAATCATGATGTAATTTCAGCGAGGAGAAGGGAAATTGTGTGACAGTTAAAAACCTCATCTACTAGAGTAAGAGGTCTATAGGTAATAGCCAAAATAAAATTCAAGAATAGTACCATGTCTATTATCACAAAGGTGAGCGAATTAACAGCTACAAGAGAAATACACAGCAGCCTCTGAAAACTTTGGCCTTTTGGGCATGAAGGTGAGTATGTGGCAATCAGAAGGCTGTCTTTGATTTGAACATCAATTCCTTTAAACTATATTTTAATTATGATAAATGAAAATATGTGCTAGAGTTACATACTATAAATATACTTACTATGGAAATGCTGTTGAAGTAGGAGCTAAAACTGGAGGATTCTTCCAGAACTCATCCAAAAGACTTTGAATAATTTTTCCAAGATCTGAGTGCATGGTAAACTGAAAGTAACAGTAATACATAATGATAAAACCCTCTCAAAACAGGATGACAGAATTGCATGGGAATAAATGTCATTTGAAATCTTAACGAGTGTTTGCAGCCAAGAATAAACAGAAGAAAGAGGGCAGGAGTGATGGCTCGGTGGGTAGGAGCATTTAATGTCTCCCAGAGGACCCGGGTTCAGTTCCTAGCACCTACATGGCAGCTCACAACCTCTCTAACTCCAGTTCTAGGTGATGTGACACTCTGCTCTGACCTCTGTGGGTGCTGCACACATGTGGTGCACTTACATGTAGGCACAACACTAGTACACATAAAATAAAAAAATAAATAAACAGAAAAGCAAAGAGCACTGTGTCAGCATACTAACAATCCATGACTTACAACACTTTCTTATAGAATCAATACTATAAATATTTGGTAATTAAAAAATCAGGTTAAAAGTCTATTTAATCAATAATGGAGCTAAAATATTCTCATACTTCACACTTTACAATAATTTGATTATTCAGCAGTAAATACTAAGGGTATATTTAAGTTGCAATTTGTCACATTAATCAACCACATTGTATCCAAAACTTTCAAGTCATAGGCTTAAGTAGACAGTATTGTCTAAGGAAATGTTAAGATTACTAATTTCAAAATGAAAATTTCAGTACACTTAAGATTTCTAGAATAATAAAAATGTAATAAATGTGTTAGAACATTCTGAAATAAACTATAGCATATACATACATTGTTTACTAATGGAGAGGTAACATATAGTCCTTGATTATCCATTAAGTGATGTCTTATTGGTGGATAAACACTAATCACTGGTTTTTCCTGAGGAAACTGTGGCGGAAGTAATCTAGTAAAGGAATAACACACACACAAAAAAAACACAAACAAATGAAAAAAAAATACATCATGTGACCATAATCTTAAAACAAAGTTATTTAAAAGCAAATTAAACTTTCACATTGATTTATATGGATTAATTCTTTAGTAACAAGTGTTTTATCACAGATATTGAGCACACTGAAAATATATAAAAGTCTATGTTTTGGCAATAAGATAACACAGTCATTCAATACAATAAATACTTTTTAATGTGGAATATAGGCTCCATGTATTACAGAATAGTCTTTTTAGCATGTCAACTAACTGATTTCAAAGATAAAAGTTATAACTTGCTGAATAAAAATCTCAGCTAAAAATCAGATTGTACACTTGTATCCAGAAAACCATGCAAAAAACCAAACTGGCTATTTAGTGGATGGTAGCTCTGGCTCTGTGTGTGCGTGTGCATGTGTGTTTCACCTGTGAAGTCCTGCCTAGAATGACAGCATGCATACACTACTCAAGAGAAAGGGGATAAGAAGGTAAGTAACTAAGACTGAACTACCATACTTGTCATTGGGTGTTTGTTTATCTAATTCCTAAAGGCTGTGCTAACACCTCTCCTCATACTCAAGGAAACTCATGTGGTTCCCAGAGAGAATAAAAATCTCATAAATCAAAAAAGTAAAAAATTTAACTTTTTTTTTTTTTGGCTTTTCAAGACAGGGTTTCCCTGTGTAGTTTTGGTGCCTGTCCTGGATCTTGCTCTGTATACCAGGCTGGCCTGGAACTCACAGAGATCCATCCACCTGCCTCTGCCTCCCAAGTGCTGACATTAAAGGTGTGCGCCACTACCACCCAGCAAAATTTAACCTTTTCTAAGTACTACAAAGTTGAGATTAGTTTATAAAATATTTTAATAGAAGTTTATTAAATCCAGAACTCTGTTTTCTAAGTTTTAAAAACTCAGAATATATTTCCTTTTAAGCTTTTCTACTCATATATTGGTTAAAGAAAGTACTTCTTGACAGCATTATCAAAAACTGGATATTGTTGGACTCTCCTACCTATGTCTACCTGGACACTGGATGGGAAATAAAATGAATTCATTTATACAGCTAAAGGGTTTTTTGTTTGTTTGTTTTTATAGCTCAAGATTTTTAAATTAGTTTGTAGAAGAGGCAACAGCGGCCTTTGGAGCCAAACAATGAGTTTGTGTCCCAGCTATTTATTTATGAGTCTGTAATATAGCCTAATTTGTAAGGCTACCACTATGTAGATTCAGAAAGCTCATATTTGTCAAGTTAATGTGCTTTAGTGCTTGCCAGAACTATATATCTATCCTTAGATCTGTTCAGAACTAGTATTTAATAAGGCCTCCTATGTCCATGGGCTAAACAATAAGCCATAAAGATTTTATTTCACAGAACTGAGAACTATTTTATGTTACAGTTACTTTAAATAAGTTCATTTAAAGAGCATATGTCTGATATTAACTAAGATTCAAAACAAAAGTTAGTTCCTATTACATGAAATATAGATTACAATTCTATTCACACATTAGTGCTGTCAGGCTATTAAGACATAAAGCAAAAATTAAAACCTAATACACAAAAAAATAGAAAAGAATTCTACTTACATATTAATGTTAATTGTCAGGTTGTTTACTGTGAATGGCAATCTGTATTCTACATCTTTTTGTATTTCAGCTATACTGTAAGAGAAAATTTAGAAAAGACATAAAAAGAGATCAATGCTATAAAACTATTAATATCAAAACCAAATGTTAAATGCTATAACCTACTAAATGTTTTAAATTTAATCACAGCATTTGGATAGCTGGTATAACCTGTGTCTAGAGAGAAAATTACCATAGTTGGAAAGGCTTATCAAATATGCAGGCAATAATATTCTAAAATATCCAAAGGGTAAGGGAAGGATGCTGAAGAAAACATACAAGAAAAACTCCCATTAATCTTAAGATTGATTTAATATAATTCTATCCAATTTATCATTAGTAGAAGCAACTGCAAGCCTTCTGGGTAATATAGGTCAACATGAATCTGATTTCTGGTGCCACTACCCAGGTTTACAGACAGCTGGGGAAATCTGGGTCTTAAGAGCTTAAACCAACAAGTCCCTATGAGTGTCTCTTGGGGTGGCAAGATAACAAATGGCTTCTGGCTGCTTTCCACCTTTCCTCTTCTTCCCCAAAGGAGCCTGTCTGTATTCTGGGTAGCCACTCTCTAGCCATACTCTTTCTTGTAAGTAGCTGTTGATAAAGACTTTATGTTCCAGCTAATAAAAATATAGTTAGTAGTGGGGTGGATTTCCAGGGAAGCAGCTTACAGTGGAATTGCCTTTCTTGCCTTCTTCCTACTTCCTGTCTGGATGCCAGGCTTGCACAGAAACAGTCACATTGAGGCTCCCTATGAATGGTTGGCAATGAAACAACTAGCTGGGGTCCTTGATAAGCATAAAATTGCCAGACTCTTGGTTTTTGTTTGCTTGTTTGTTTTGTTTTGTTTGAGACAAGTCTTACTATATGTAGCCTTGACTGACCTGGAACTCCCAATGTAGCCCAGGCTGGTCTTATCACAGAAGTCCATCTGCCTCTGCCTACCAAGTACTGGGATTAAGGACAAGTGTCACCATGCCTGGCTTAAGTTTCTTTTATGTGACAGCAAAATAAGCTTTTATCTTGTTTGAGCTACTACTTTGAGAGTCTTGATTAACCCTATCAGAGTTCCCAATATAAAGCCCTTATCAATGGACATCCTACAAGCAGTTTATCTTATTGACTGTAGTCATATTTACAACTAAAACATAAGAAATATGGAACTTTTGGGAGTTCACTTGAATTGTTAACATTCATAACTGTTATAAGGGGGAACACACAAAGTAGTACTCATTAGTTGATTCAGTAGAAGACATTTAGTTATGAGTCTTTTGGACTACTTTATTTTCTGGTCTTTAATAAAAACCTAGCCTCTCCAATATGTAAATCTTGTGTACTTTAAAGGTTCCTAAGTGTTGCTATCTCAGATACTTTGCTATTGCTGTGAAGCACCAGCAGGGCCAAGTCAATTTACAAAAAGACTTAAATGGGGTCTTGTTCATGGTTTCAGTGGGTTAGCCCTTGGCCATCATGGTGTGGAGTACAGCAGCAGGCAGGCATTAGCTTTAGCTGAGAGAGAGCTTACATCTGATTCACAGGTAAGAGGCAGAGAGAGAGACTGAGCTTGCCATGTGCCTTTGAAACCTCAAAGCCCTCCTCCAGTGACACACTTCCTACAACAAGGCCACACCTCCTAATTCTTCCAAAACAGTTCCACCAACTGGGGACCAAGCATGCACATGTGTGAGCCTATGGGAGCCATTCTCATTCAAACCACCACTGTTGGGATGGAGAATCCTAGATGTAAACAAGCTTTTCCCTCTAATACCCTATGGAATGAGGCTGTCACTGACAAGAAATAGCTAAGAAATTTTCTCCTTTTCTTTGACTTTTCTCTTTCAGTAGCATGTGTAGCACCTTCCTGTATTGTGAAAGCTAACCACAAGGGATGAAGCTTCCAGGTCAGAATCAGCTTGATTTTTCCTTGTCCTATGACTCAAGTATATAGTGACTTCAGCAACAAGGACTGGGAGCCAGGGTGATGCAATGCTTTTCCTGATGCCCTGATATATGGAGAAGGAATGTAGGTCCTTATCTAAAACCAGTAATATGCTTGGCCAGGGCCTTGGGAGAGCAGTAGCTTCTGATCCTAGGAACCTAACTCCTCCCCCAAAGGGGCTATGGTTATCAGTCCCAGGGCTATTGTGTGCTCAGTCTGTGACACACTTGAGATATCCTGAGTTTCTTTTGAACAACATTGCTGGATTAGCTTCCTGTTGACCTCATCCCACTGTATGATAGCTTTCTGCTGAATGTGTCCCATTCTTTCCCCTGCAGACTGTCTGTAAGATGCTATACTTCTTAATAAACTTGCTTGGCATAAGGCATCAGCTTATGCAAGACCTCTTGACCCCACCTTTCCTGTCTTCTTTATTTTTTCATCCCAGGTCCACCCTTCAAGGACCTACCACTGAAGAACAGCCTGCTGGTCCAGGCTGATAGGGTCTTACCATTAAATTATGGTTGGAGGAGAAAAGCAATCATCAACCTCACCCACCTGGGAACCCTATGTGCTAAAAGGACTGGCTGGCAAGGCTTGTGCCCTGGTGCAGTAGTGGCACAAACACAATGGAAGAACTCACCACTTTCTGCTGGTATTTACAGCCCTCTTCACAACATGATACTCACACCCAGCACCACAACAGGGCCAAGAACCTGCAGCCAAGCAGGTCATAGGTCTAGGGAAAACAGCTAAATAACACAGAAGGAAGATGACTCCTGGTGACTTAGTGTTCTTTGCACAGATTAACGCATCTCTCAAACTTCATCAGAAAAGCTTCTATTTGCAATACAACAGACCAAGGTACAGAGAATAAGAGACTAAGGAATGCTCAGCCCTAAATGGGACGTCTATATCAAATCCTCTCTGTGCAAGGCTCAGGATCATTGAAAGAAGAGTAAAAAAGACGGTAAGAGTCAGAGGTGGTTGATAAATAAATACACAGAAGCAATACCCCCGACACGAAAAGGCAGCTGTGCATATGAACTCACAGTAATTGTGACACCATGCACAAAGCACATCAAAGGTTAAGTCAGACCTAATACTAGCATGAAGAGGGGAGGTGGACACCAAGTCCCACCCCAGCGGAGGAACTACTGCCAATTATAGCGCTGGAAGAGGGAGAGTTAGTTTTAAGAGCGTCACCTCTTGGTCAACCCTGCTTTGGTGGAAGGCCACATATCCAAGAACATATAGCTAGCGCAAATTGGATTTGATGGGAAAAATAAAAAAATAAAATAAAATAAAAAAGGAGAGCATAAAGTTGAATGGGTAGAGAAGGGGAGTGGGCCTGGATGTATGAAGGAAATAAACTATATAGAACAAAATATACTGTATAGAACTCTCAAATATTAAAATAAGAAGAAGAAAGAAGTAGCTAAGCTAGATTCAAACAGATAATCAGGATTTACATGATTTTTATGAAAGCTTCTCTTTGGGAACTGGATTTAGGCTGACGCCCTCCTCCTCTATATGAATGCCGCATAATTAAGTGGCATTAAAACAAAGTCCAAACTTTCTTTATTCCTCTACATTACCAAGATGTCACTGCACAAGGAATGAATAGTGAAAGAATCTTCTACTAGTTCAAGTCAAGTAGAGCATCTTAGTGACTGAAAGCAAGGCTTATTAAAGACAGACTCCTGAAATCAAATCCCACATATACCATTTTACTTGCTGTGGTGGTTTGAATAAGAATGGCCCCTACAGGCTCATATATTTGAATGCTTAGTTATGAAGACTAGAACTCTTTCGGAAGGACTAGGAAGTGTAGTATTGTTTGAGCAGATGTGGCCTTATTGGAGAACGTGTGCCATTGGGGGTAGGATCTGAGGTTTCAAAAGTTCATTCTAGGCCCTGTTTTCTCACTTGGCCCGTGGTGGATCAGGATATAGCTTTCAGCTACTGCTCCAACACAATGCATGCTGCCATGATGATAAATGGACTAAACTCTGAAACTGTAAGCAAGCCTCCAATTAAACATTCTTTAGTAAGAGTTGCCTTGGTCATAAGTGTCCACAGCAATAGAACAGTGACGAAAACACTTGGAATTAGATCAAATACAAGTTCCTGAACCTTTTTTTCCCCCTAATGAGAGATGGTTATATTAAACGCATCTATCTGCCTTGTGATGTCTCATTAAGCAAGATCATATATGTAAAGGTTTCAGGAGATTACAAGGCAAATAACTGTTCAATGTGTTAAGTGTTATTTTTTTAAAAGCATTTAGAAAATTTACCTAAGTTGTACCTTCTCAGCTTTGTGGTAATAAAATTTTAACTCACTGAGATTTTCAGTCACTGCCTGAACTTTTATTTTAAAAAAAAAAAATCATAGAAACATATTAAAACACAAGCTGCCAAGGACGGGAAGCAATCAATAGTCCTGCCCAGCTGTGACACTTATGAACCACAATAATGACCGGCATGACAAAATATCCATAAGGGTACAATCGTGGCATTCGTATCTTGGCACTAAACAACAGCTGTCCAATTAGACCTAAGGTCTGCTCAACACAAGGGAAATTAGGCCTGGTGCAGGAAACCTGGCAACCCGCTGGGGTTAGTGATGCCACGACCTCTACTTTACTAAACCAGGATCATTCCTAACGGCACAATAAGTACTTACCTTTATACCCACACATAAGTGTAGCTCTCACGCCTCATCAGAGAAGAGTCTCTTTACACAAAGACTGTTAGTGAAAACCGTAACTGGTCAAAATGCAGGGAACAAATGATCATTGGGTACCCTGCCCAAATGGAGACATCTACAACACTACTCCTGCACCTCAGGCTCAGGGGATGTCTCAGAAGTGGAAGCAGGGAGACTGTAAGAGCCAGAGAAGCAGAAAATCTGCTGTGAGCTTATGTCTCCTAGAAATGACAGAAAAGCTTCACTCATAAATGCCGTGACAAGAGGTTTAAGAAGGACAACATGAGTAGACATGCATAGTAGAATATTATTTTAAGGTGTGTTACTTTTGTTGATGTTGATGTTGTTTAACTCTGTGAAGCTGTGTTACTGTGCCTGTGTAAAA